AATAATTAATCAATAGATAACCAAGTGTGGCCCCGATCCCAATCACTTGGGTGGGCCTACTCGTGAGTAAGAGGCACTCAATGGGGAAATGATAATAGTAGTAAATCAATAAATTAATAAGTAATAATAATAATAATTAATCAATAAATAACCAAGTGTGGCCCCGATCCCAATCACTTGGGTGGGCCTACTCGTGAGTAAGAGGCACTCAATGGGGAAATGATAATAGTAATAAATCAATACATTAATAAGTAATATTAATTAATTAATTAATTGCCAAGTGTGGCCCCGATCCCAATCACTTGGGTGGGCCTACTCGTGAGTAAGAGGCACTCAATGGGGAAATGATAATAGTAGTAAATCAATAAATTAATAAGTAATAATAATAATAATTAATCAATAAATAACCAAGTGTGGCCCCGATCCCAATCACTTGGGTGGGCCTACTCGTGAGTAAGAGGCACTCAATGGGGAAATGATAATAGTAATAAATCAATACATTAATAAGTAATATTAATTAATTAATTAATTGCCAAGTGTGGCCCCGATCCCAATCACTTGGGTGGGCCTACTCGTGAGTAAGAGGCACTCAATGGGGAAATGATAATAGTAGTAAATCAATAAATTAATAAGTAATAATAATAATAATTAATCAATAAATAACCAAGTGTGGCCCCGATCCCAATCACTTGGGTGGGCCTACTCGTGAGTAAGAGACATTCAATGGGGATTATATAGGAAAATGACAATAACAATAAATCAATAATAAATAACTAATACATGCCCAAGCGTGGCCCCGATCCCCTTCACTTGGGTGGGCCTACTCGTGAGTAAGAGACAGCCAATTGGGATCGCATAGGGTTCCATGTCTCCAAGCACTACATCATCATCATCATCATCATCATCATCATCCATGGCCCCGTTCCCCTTCACTTGGATAGTCCTACTCACAAGTAAGAGGCATTCAATGGGGATGGCATGGGGTCCAGTGTCTCCAAACATCAATATCACCACAACGCAAGTTCAATGGTGGCCCCGATCCCCATCACTTGGGTGGGCCTACTCGCAAGTAAGTGACACTCAAAAGTGGCAACCCAATGTCTCCAAGCATTACATCAACTGCATCATCAAATAGGATATTGATAATAATAATCAATCAATCAATCAATCAATCAATAATAATACGTGTCCAATGGTGGCCCCAATCCACATCCCTTGGGTAGGCTTACTCATGAGTAAATGACATTCAATGAGAACTATATAGGACCCAATGTCTCCAAGCATTACGTCAACCTCGTCATCATTAATGATAATAATAATAATAATACATGCCCAATGGAGGCCCCGATCCCCATCCCTTGGGTAGGCTTACTCACGGGTAAGTGACATTCAATGAGAATGATATAGGATCCAACGTCTCTAAGCATCAACCTCAGCATCAAATAGCTAATTGATAATAATAATAAATCAATACATTAATAAATAATTATATATGTCTAATGGTGGCCCCGATCCACATCCCTTGGGTAGGCTTACTCGTGAGTAAGTGACATTCAATGAGAATGATATAAGATCCAATGTCTCCAAGCATTACGTCAACCTCGTCATCAAATAGGAAATTGATAATAATAATAAATCAATAAATTAATAAATAATATATGTCCAATGGTGGCCCCGATCCCCATCTCTTGGGTAGGCTTACATGAGAGTAAGTGACATTCAGTGAGAATTATATAGGACCCAATGTCTCCAAGCATTACGTCAACCTCGTCATCAAATAGGGAATTGATAATCATCAATTAATCAGTAATAATGTCCAATGGAGGCCCCGATCCCCATCCTTTGGGTAGTCTTACACATGAGTAAGTGACATTCAATGAGAATTATAGAGGACCCAATGTCTCCAAACATTACATCATCATCAAATAGGGAATTCATAATAATGATCAATCAATCAATAAAAATACATGTCCAATGGTGGCCTCGATCCACATCACTTGGGTAGGCTTACTCATGAGTAAGTGACATTCAATGAGAATTATATAGGATCCAATGTCACCAAGCATTACATCAACCTCATCATCATCATCATCATCATCATCATCAATAATAATAATAATATTAATAACAACAACAACAATACATGCCCAATGGAGGCCCCGATCCCCATTCTTTTGGGTAGTCTTACACATGAGTAAGTGACATTCAATGAGAATGATATAGAATCCAATATCACCAAGCTTTAAGTCAACATCATCATCAAATAGGTTATTGATAATAATAATAAATCAATAAATCAATAATAATAATAATGTCCAATGGTGGCCCAGATCCCTTGGGTAGGCTTTCTCGCGAGTAAGTGACATTCAATGAGAATAATAAAAGATCCAATGTCTCCAACATTGATCAACATCATCAAATAGGGAATTGATAATAATAATAATAATCAATCAATCAATACTAATAGATGCCCAATGGAGGCCCCGATCCCCATTCTTTTGGGTGGGCTTACTCATGAGTAAATGGCATTCAATGAGGATTATAGAGGACCCAATGTCTCCAAGCATAGCATCAATAGGTTATTGATAATAATAATAACAATAATAATAATAATAATGCATGCCCAATAGTGGCCCCAATACCCATCCCATGTCTCCAAGCATGACATCAACATCATCATCAAATAGGTTATTGATAATAATAATCAATCAATCAATCAATTAATCAATACTAATAGATGCCCAATGGAGGCCCCGATCCCCATTCTTTTGGGTAGGCTTACTCACGAGTAAGTGACATTCAATGAGAATTATATAGGACCCAATGTCTCCAAATAGGTTATTGATCATCAATCAATCAATCAATACTAATAGATGCCCAATGGAGGCCCCGATCCCCATTCTTTTGGGTAGGCTTACTCACGAGTAAGTGACATTCAATGAGAATGATAGAGGACCCAATGTCTCCAAGCAGGTTATTGATCATCAATCAATCAATCAATCAATTAATCAATACTAACAGATGCCCAATGGAGGCCCCGATCCCCATTCTTTTGGGTAGGCTTACTCACGAGTAAGTGACATGCAATGAGAATGATATAGAATCCAATATCTCCAAGCATGACATCAACCTCATCATCATTAATAATAATAATCAATCAATAAATTAATAATAATAATAATAAGAAGAAGAAGAAGAAGAAGAAGAAGAAGAAGACATGCCCAATGGAGGCCCTGATCCCCATTCTGTTGGGTAGGCTTACTCGTGAGTAAGTGACATTCAATGAGAATTATCCAAATAGCTTATTGATAATACTAATCAATCAATCAATCAATTAATCAATAATCATAGATGCCCAATGTAGGCCCCGATCCCCATTCTTTTGGGTAGGCTTACTCACGAGTAAGTGACATTCAATGAGAATGATAGAGGACCCAATGTCTCCAAGCAGGTTATTGATAATAATCAATCAATATATTAATCAATACGAATAGATGCCCAATGGAGGCCCTGATCCCCATTCTTTTGGGTGGGCTTACTGATGAGTAAGTGACATTCAATGAGAATTATCCAAATAGGTTATTGATACGAATCAATCAATTCATCAATACTAATAGATGCCCAATGGAGGCCCCGATCCCCATTCTTTTGGGTGGGCTTACTCGTGAGTAAGTGACATTCAATGAGAATTATATAGGACCCAACATCTCCAAATAGGTTATTGATAATACTAATCAATCAATCAATCAATACTCATAGATGCCGAATGGAGGCCCCAATCCCCATTCTTTTGGGTAGGCTTACTCAAGAGTGACATTCAATGAGAATTATCCAAATAGGTTATTGATACTAATCAATCAATTCATCAATACTAATAGATGCCCAATGGAGGCCCCGATCCCCATTCTTTTGGGTAGGCTTACTCATGAGTAAGTGACATTCAATGAGAATGATATAGAATCCAATATCACCATGCTTTACATCAACATCATCATCAAATAGCTTATTGATAATACTAATCAATCAATCAATCAATCAATGCTAATAGATGCCCAATGGAGGCCCTGATCCTCATCCCTGGGGTAGGCTTACTCATGAGTAAGTGACATTCAATGAGAATGATAGAGGACCCAATGTATCCAAGCAGGTTATTGATCATCAATCAATCAATCAATCAATCAATAATCATAGATGCTCAATAGAGGCCCTGATCCTCATCCCTTGGGTAGTCTTACTCATGAGTAAGTGACATGCAATGAAAATGATAGAGGGCCCAATGTCTCCAAATAGCTTATTGATCATCAATCAATCAATACTAATAGATGCCCAAAGGAGGCCCTGATCCCCATTCTTTTGGGTGGGCTTACTCATGAGTAAGTGACATGCAATGAAAGTGATAGAGGGCCCAATGTCTCCAAATAGGTTATTGATCATCAATCAATCAATCAATACTAATAGATGCCCAATGGAGGCCCCGATCCCCATTCTTTTGGGTGGGCTTACTCATGAGTAAGTGACATGCAATGAAAGTGATAGAGGGCCCAATGTCTCCAAATAGGTTATTGATCATCAATCAATCAATCAATACTAATAGATGCCCAATGGAGGCCCCGATCCCCATTCTTTTGGGTGGGCTTACTCATGAGTAAGTGACATGCAATGAAAGTGATAGAGGGCCCAATGTCTCCAAATAGGTTATTGATCATCAATCAATCAATCAATACTAATAGATGCCCAATGGAGGCCCCGATCCCCATTCTTTTGGGTAGGCTTACTCACGAGTAAGTGACTTTCAATGAGAATGATAGAGGACCCAATGTCTCCAAGCAGGTTATTGATCATCAATCAATCAATCAATACTAATAGATGCCCAATTCTATTGGTAATGGGGCTCTGATCCCCATTCTTTTGGGTGGGCTTACTCATGAGTAAGTGACATGCAATGAAAGTGATAGAGGGCCCAATGTCTCCAAATAGGTTATTGATCATCAATCAATCAA